CCAAATGGTATAATAATCTTGTCGTAGTTTTTGCACATTGTTTAATGCCAAGGCAAGTTTGAAAAATACGGTCCCATGCTGGGTTATTGGATGTGAAGCTCTGTTTTACTGCCTTGTGTGAAAATAGAGAAATTGTACAAGTTTGAAGCTCTTATCAACATTATTGGGTTATTTGAGAGGCGGGACCTCCGAGTTTAACATCCATCTCCGAAAGGACTGAGCCAAATAAGAAATTCTTGTAAAGTGCCTTCCCAAAGACACAACGTCGGACCGAGCCGAGACTCGAACCCCCGAACCCGCAATCTCACAATTACGGGTCCGATAACACAACCATTAGGCCACCGACGCCACACTGCATTGTGTGGTGAGAGTTGGTTTCTTCCTTATGGTTTGCTCCAAGGCATTCAAAAATAAATTTTTGTTCCGGTATCCTCGGTTTGCTCGCTTCGGCGGCCGCGCCCGCTTCCACGAGAAGAGCCTTTCTGTGAACTTTGGGAGCTGGGGAAGGATCAGCAAGGTTTTTGGACTCCAATGTGTGTGTTGGTGAGGTTGGTTTGACTCCGGAGCTCCCCACCCGCCACCGAGCCCAACGAGGGGACATACTGCTCGGACATCCAGAGCTGTGCCAAGGCTACCACGTAGTTTTACTCTTCACGACAGTGGAATAGACCCTCCAGTCAAGATTTGTCCCATGGGCAGATTGAAGGGGTTTAAACTCCCTACTTATTCAGTGTCTTCGGCCCTCTCTCTCTCTCTCTCTCTCTGTCTCTCTGTCTCTCTCTCTCTCTCTCTCGTAGGCCAAAGTGGTGTGTTGGCGAGGGACAGTCCACAGACTGATCTTACCTCACAGTCACAGTCAATAAGGAGACCACTCCGTGGGGTGGGGGGACATTTGCTGTACGTGAGGTCAGCCGTGGAAGAAACGATAGAATGGAATAAGAAGAAAGGAGAAGTGGAAGATACACCAAAAGAGGTTGAGGTCCATGGGCCCTATCTTGTCACTGGAGGAGATTCACCTTCTGTAGATAGGATAGTAATAGTGGGCACTTGCAACACAATAAAGTCATATAAGTATCGACACAAGAGAGTAACAAGCACAAAAAGGAGGAGAGATAAGGATGATAGATGCTTGACAGGAAAGAAGTGACAGTTGCTCTGGTGTGGTTTGTTCCTTCATAGCACAACAGTGCATACCTATACAAGTGAAAGACAACAATAAACACAAAACAACATGTTTTTCACCTTACGATTTCTTTAATATGAAAATAATGTTGTATAATATGTTTTTGTAAGAATCAATCATAGCATAGAGGTCAAAAAATAGAAACTCCTGGAGTACACTGAAGCTGTTTCAAGTTTTACACACCAATTTTGGTCCCTGTAGATGCACACACATACTACACTCACTCATACACACATACATACTACATACACGCACTCACATACACACACTGATGCAAACACACAAACCCCAGTTCATAATTGCTAGCCTGATCATGATTTACAGATAGGCTATATATCAGAGCAATACAGAAAATTAAGCCAAAAAAACGGGTGTTGTTAATAACAGAAGAAAGAGCAAAACACTGTGTGACAAAACACACTCATAACTGACAAACTTGGACCTAATGAGAGACAATCATTTTCAGTTTTTGCAACTGGAATATACAGGAATTGAATATGAACCACCAGTTTTCAAAAATTCAAACATAATATTATTAGGTGGAAAGTTGAGGGGGTGTCTATTAGCGACATAAAGATGTTCCATTACAAGAAAGCTAAACTTATTTTTTAAAACTCAAAATATCATTATCAATCTATCAGTGGATTGTGGTTGAGAAGATTTATTTATGTAAGTATAGGCACCTACTTACATAGTTCTTATTTAAAAAAATAATGACTATCATCAGCTCAGTTGAGGATTCAATCCATTCCATAATTTTCTGAAGTGAATTTACGCCAAAATAGACAACTGCAAGAGCAGTCGTATCAGCCAAGCTAGTGAACTTGCCAATTGTCGCAACAAAAAATAACCTGTGCGAAAATAACTTCTCATCAGGCCAATTCAAATTCAAAGACAATCAGGGGACTTGCATGAAGAAATTCATTTCCATCCTGGGTCAATCTGCTTACAAAGGAGAAACGGGAGAAAGTAATGTGATGCAGTAACGAAAGACGAATGTGCACACACACTCACAAACACACATACACACACACACACACACACACAATTCCTAAACAAACAAATGCACAAACATACACAAATGCATACACACACCACAGGAGGCTGTCTATGTGAGTTGTTATGTGTGTTGCTATGGCGAGATCTTCCAGCCAATCATTATGCAGGTCAGGAGTATTCTGACAATGATTTAAATGCAAGATATAGTCGTTCTAATTAACAATGAACCTTCCTTGTCTCACATTTTAGCTAAAACAGACATAATAAGATTTGAAAAAAACAACAACACACAAACAAACAAAAAAGAAAACTTGACTCAAATAGGATCCAAAGAATAAACAGAAGCACAGTATGTCCGAAAGTTAACTGAAAGTGCTTATGGCTGTAAACTTTCATTCTGGCAAGGTTCAGGAAAGGAACGATTCCGAATAATATATGAAGATCTCAACATGAGAAATGAGAAGTCAATGTTGCTTTAGCAAAACAAAGTTAATTCTGAAGTAGCCTATACTTTGGACGCAACGTACTGGGAGAAACCAGAGTTCTATCAGCTCAAGACTGACATAAGTGCATACACACCAGTGCTCTGGCATCATTCATGAAAAATGGAGGTGGAGGCTGTGGGCTAAAACAATGTGGGGACAAAAAAAGAACGCCTCAAAGATTTATAAATGACCATTTCAGTAATGATACTGGTGACGAGGAGCAACTTAACACCAAACCTTTGCAAACTGAAGAGACACAGAGATGGCGTATAGGCCATCACACCAGATACCCGTCCCTGCCAGCACAGTAGAACAAAGCACAAAATGTTTATGGACACACTGAATGGGAACGTGCAAACCTCTTCTAGAAACAATTAAGGGCATTTCCAAGGCTGAATACTTTGAGCCTCTATCAGATGTAAGCTAAATAGAGTAGGAAACATAGCACATCTACTATGAACAAAAAGAACAATTTCATTTCCATCTGGAATAAAGCTTAGTGTTTCCACAAGAAAGACAATACTGTGACTAACTGGGACTAAACACACTAGTCAGTTCAGGCTTGAATACACCTGTGAAGGTACAAGAGGAAAAATTCCCCCAGAAGTTCACAATTTCGGTCTTAATATAGTACACATAAACACACACGCTCATATGGACTTGAACACTAAATTTTCCAAATCTGAGAGAGAAAAAAAACAAGAGATGGGAGTTTTGGAAAAAGACAACAACAAAAGACAACTACTGAAACAAGTTGCTAATAGGATGTCAGAGCAATTTCCTTGAAATAATATTCAAAAGGAAGAGAAAAATAAATGTCCATCATATTAACATTGGTCGAAATACTAAGGACTTAAAAAAAGGAAAGCACTAAATATTTAGTTCTGAAGATGTTCAACACTATGCAAGATATGGGTAAGAGCTAAGTAAAAAGTTTTTTTTTTTTTTTAAAAAGGTTCCTGAACACCTTTAAAAGAACAAAGAAATGATCAAGATACATAAAACAGGACAATGTAGGAGAAAAATAAGTAAGCCTACTTCAAGTAATGGTGACAGAGAAAAAAAGTCGTGCTTTCAAAGGAACAACTTAGCTTAACTCAACTTGAGGCAAATAAACGAGACATCTCCATTTTAAAAAAATAAAAAAATCATTTTGTTCTTTATTGGAACCCTGCCGTGGACACAAAGTTAATGTAAGTTTTCCGGTGTGCACAGTAAACTTGAAGAACAACTCAAGAGAAGGAAAAAAAACAACTAACATAAACAGGAAGACGTAATGCTAAAGAGAAAAGCAGAAAAAATATGTTAACTTACGCAAAGTCATTTTCATTTTGTGTTGAAGTGACCACAATTCTCAGCATTATTAAAAACCTAAAAGAAAAGACATTTCAAATGTGATACATGCAATAATGCAAAAATGATATCACATCAAATTAAGTACATTTACAACCCATAACTACCAGCTTTTGACAATTGGAACATCATAAAAGAAAAGAAGAAAGCAGTAACAGGAAGCAGGAAAAATACACCAAAACTAAGAGGCAATTACAGGATCTGACATAACAAAAAGTTGTCCCTCTCCAAGACATAAATCTGGAAATTATCCAGAAATACTCCATTCCAAACATCTCAGACAAAGATTACTTGTGGCCCATTTCAATTTCAAGTCATGAGTTTCAGACACGCTGCACACAGATCTATTACATTTTGAAGGACTCAAGGACTGACTGTCCTTGTCAAAAAAAAAGGGACTGGAACAGGACAATAACCTAAGACAAAAACGAAATGCCTCTTTGCCTCTTGGTATTGGATGGCAAAATTTAAAAAATAAAGCAAAGAGCTTACATAGGGAGGGGGGAATGCGCGCATACGAACAACTGGATGTAAGGCGAGAGGGTGACAAAACAAAAGGAATTACTACACAAATGACCCCGAGCTCCAAATCAATGACTAAAGGTAAAGCAAAACAAATGTGGCTTTTTGAGAGCAAAGGGAAATCAAGACAGAACGAAGCACATAATGAACCAGCTTGAGGTTACTGGAGTTGATAAACAGTTGTCAACCCAGGACAGTCTCTCTTTCTCTCGCTCTTTCTTTCTGTACAAGCTCCTCTACACAGAAGTGGATTATGCCACCAGACTACCTAGCCCTATCATTGGAATTTATACTGAACAATCTCTAGAAAAATGATTCAGTTACTGACATGTGTCAACAAAATATTTCATGCCATATCGGTTCCCTGATTGCAACAAGACTTTTTTTAGAAGCGCACTCCCAATCCATCAAGTAAATATACACATTCTTGCCAACAACAACCAGAAAAATCTTAAGTATTTGCGTCAAAACTCATCAATATGATGTGCATAAAATCAGTCAGAAAGAAGGTTCCTGTCTCACCTACAAAAAATGTCACTAAAATTTGAAAATGACTTTCACATGCTTAGCTAATTGTGAGGGCACAAAGAGCTTTGTTATAAATAGCAAGAAGGAGAAAGACAGTCTAATTATAGACAATACGCCTGTGCTCTATTTAAGCTTTTCTAATCATAGTGCTCCTGCTTGACACAATAAAAAAATATATCAGCAAAAAAAGAAAAAACTCTAATTTCTCTACAACCACATTACTCAAAAATAAGCTTATGGCAAAACACATTTACATTTTCAAAGAGCACAAGTCACTACTGTGCTATGCAAAAGTAACTTATTATAATCAATTCAATGTGTCTTCAAAAACTGAATGCAGAGGAATGTGTGGCAATAGTAAATTGATGAAAATAAATGCTGTAAGGCTGTTATTACAATGCAAAGTTTGAGGCAAAAAGAACAAAGAGTGTGTCAAAATGACTCAAATAATACATTCAACATGTTATCTAGTATTCAAACCAACAGAGTCGTAAATTCCATCTAAGCTAGACTACCAGAACTTCCTGAAAAAAAAGTCTACATAACTTGAACAAAATAACAAAAACCAATACAAGGAAAGTTTTGGAAATTACCTGCACTTTTATTATCTCTTTCATCTAAAATAATAAATTTTTTTGTATCACTTCAAATAAATATCTCCATAAACACACAATAGAAAGGAAGAAAATGCAACAAGGAAATGCTTTGCTACTTTAACTTAGTTACTACTTTTACCTTAATATTTTGCACAATAAAAGGATTTAGAGTTAGAATTGAAGGCTATGGCAAAGGCAAAACAAAATCAGAAAAATGAAACTAAAACATGAATAGTAGCACTAGCACAAAAAAACACAACTAAAAGACTTTAACATAATTTTTTATCACATGGACAATTAATTTTCATGTTGACCTCTCTTACGTGCAAATGCCACATCAGCAATTACTGCGTCAGGGAAAAAGCAATCATTCTTCTGAAACATGCCCATCATGTAGTGGAACTTACTGACCCAAGGAATAAAAGAGGCTACACTAGCCTCTGGAATGTACTTGCAATAAACAGTTGCATCAAATTCTTAAAATGTGCACAGAAAATTGAACAAAGCATAATAAGGCTCTCAAGTGTTACAGCGTTGTAATATGCTGAACAAAATGCATTGACAGCGCCACATTTTCAGCTTTTAAGCAGATCAAAACACAGACACTGCTTCATGTGTTGACATTATAAAGGGGGATCGACAAAATCAAACAACAGCCTCATGCGTTTACAGCAAGCTCAACAAATCATTCAAAAACAGAGGAGGAAACAAATCACTGAAAAAGTGCAGGGAATTTTAAAAGCGACAGGCTTTAACTGGCTAACTGTGATTACATGAGATATTATGATCATCTACACATGCTGACTGGGCCCTTCACGGGCCTGGGCATTCGAGTCCACGAGCTCTCAACTGCTTTCAGCCCAACTTAAAAATAGAATAATACATAAATATACACATAAATATAATATATAAATAAACCATAGGCTGTAAAATAATGTTCAATCTCCAAGACTAACCAAACACTATCCATGATTATGTTACGAGCAGAATCGAGAGGGAATCTTTGGGGTTTTTAAACTTAACACCACAAAAATTGACAGTGAAAAGAAATATAGATAATAGAAATATTTCTTGAAAACTGTTCAAACATCTTACAAATGGTGCAAGCAAATTATTTGCTACAAAAAGAAAGGTTTTCAAAAAAAAAAAAAAAAAAAAAAAGCAGGTTTCATGTAATTCACTAAGCAATCAAATGCTGCCACAAAGAACTAGTCGAAAAATCGATATTAACATAATTCTACAAGAGGCCAAACAAAATGAGGAAAATTGGACTAAAGTCAGGAGCAATTCACCACTCCAGCAATAGATGTGGCAACATAGACTCAAATGAATTTTCTGGCAAACAAATGGCAGGGGATTATAAATAATTATCATTTTATTGTGACATAATATGCCATAATGTAAGTGCTTCTTTCCCAGTAAGGAAAAAAAGGCAAAAATCCTCAACAAGGGTTGCAGGTGTAAAAAAGCATGATTCATGTCAGTATATGACGTATGTATATATGTGTGCATATATACAGATATCATATTTTATATATATATATATAAGCACACATGGCAGGAACATACAAAAATGTTTCAGACACCGTAATCCACTGGGGGGAAACTGCATAACAGAACTGTTTGTTTCAGCATTTTGACACTTTTCAAAAAGTATTACATTATCACAAAGTGAACATTGCTATAGTACTGGAAGTGAAGTGAAGTGAAGTAGAGCCTCGCTCTGAATTCCACACACAATTAAGGATTTATTTCATTTTCGTTTCCAAATCCTTCACTCTCTTCATCCCAAGGCCACAAGCATGGTTTGGAATATGTGCTACTCCGCATATTGCAGACAGAAGAGGTAAAGATTTCACTGTTACTATAGAGATATAAAATAGTTGAAACAACCCTCAATGTTTCTCTAGATGATAAAAATTGTAGGTCTACAACTTTATTATAATCATCTTACAACTATCATTAACACCCTAACACACTGAGGTGAAAAAGGCCGTACAAATTTAAAGATTTACCACAACGAGTGAGATAAATGTTTTCAAAAAGGCTCAATAGATGAGATGTAAATAGAACCAAGCAGTTTCCAATTTAAAATGGACAAATTTTTCCATTGCAGGAGAAACCGCATTTCTTACTTCAAAGAAATTTTTGAAAGATTTAAATATCGAGACTTAGAGAATTTAGAGATGATATTCTGAAGTGTGTAATCAGAAAGTAGTCCTAACCCAAATTTATCCTTATTTCTCTTCCTTTACCACACAAGAAAACGGGGAATTGAATGGAAGGCAGGGCATTGCGTCCACATACTTTGACATTTAGTTTGAAGACTTTTACATCATCAACTACAATGGAAGACAATCCAAGAAAAAACTTTCAACTGATTATTGTGACAATCACTGACGTTATGTCTATGCTCTACCATACTGCAAGTTCTGTTCTAGAGACTGAGTCTGTGACTTGTGATCTAATACAAACTACACAATCACTCTTTGGAGGAAGATAAAGGATCACATGGCAAAAAAATAGTCCTGCATTATCTCCCCTTGTACAAAAAACTTTCAATTATTGCAAACTTCAAAACCTCTTTGTAAACATGAGGGTATAAATATACAAGACAGAAATGTTCGGCTTGTTCCATGTGTCACAATACAAACTGCAGCAGACAGAAGTTTTGCTTATACAATTTATCTCCTCCTCCTCCTCCCTCCCCCCCCCCCCCTACCCCAACCTGCTGGAAGAAAAATTCAGTCTTTCAATACAAGTGACACGGAATTTTTTTCTGACCCTGCACAAAATTTGATTCCTATCCTCTTTCTACCTCCCAATACAATCTGAGCAAACGTATCTTTATTCCTTGCTATTACTTGCACACCCCTATGGATGTATTCCGTGGTTTACAATCTCTGGAAATCCTTGTACTTCTGCTCAAAGGACATCTTGCTCAACCTCGGGTCCTGCTTCTTCTTAGCCTTTAACCTCTCCTTCATTTCGGCCACCGAGAGCCCCATTCCCAGAGCATCAGTACCTGCTGGAGCAGGCGTGGTGGGTTGTGGGGCGGACACGGGAGCAGGCGTGGGCTCAGGGGCAGGTGGTGCGGGCTCCTCACGTACTGGCGTTGGGGACGGCTGTGGTTGTGGAGTGGGCTCCGAGGAGGCTAGTGTGTACTCAGGCTCTGGGGCTGGCTCCTGGGGGAGTTAGATAAAAGTACATTCTGTCTCAGAAATTTTGTCCTAGAAATTTTTCTCTGCGCATTGAATAAGTAAACAAAGCATAACGGCCATCAAAATAAAGATTATACATTATTCGTAATCATAATTCTTTAACAAAGAATGAATAAGTTGAAAGTGCACACTCATATAACCTGATGCAGTTGCCAGAACTGTAAAAGACTTACCAATACGAAAAACATAAGCTGAAAGAAGATAAATTTTAGCAGTAAAAGTTAGGGACTTCCAAATTTCTTCTATACAGTTTCACACTAGGCCAGAACACATTAGCTGCTACTATAATAGCCTGAAAGAACACGCAAACTTCACTTTAACAGTTGAACCTATACAGCTTCCAACCAAATATTTAATTACTTTTTGAATTTAAGACTTTGGGCACTTATAATCAGTGTGACCCAACAGAATCATCATTTTGCTCCAAATTATCTACAAGTAGCTTTTTAAAGGAACTTTGCTAAAAAATATCTAGTCTACAAGTAACTTTCTTGAGGTACTAACGCCACCATCATTTCAGGTGAGATCAGAGAGCACACAGTCAGCCCACTTGTTTCCATGCTTAACTACAATGAAAACAAATCTTGGGTTGAATTCCAAACATGAGGTTCTTGAAATTGGATAATTGGAAAATTATTCAAGCCACTCCACCCACTTGGGACAATTTTATTCTAGATGGTACGCTAAATTGGAATTTCTCTCACCTTTATTACTTTTACAGTGTAAGAAAGGGGACTAAACTCATACCAAACCATACCGTACCCTATCCAAAATCAAGCCAACTCATGAACTTGGTTTTATAAGTATTTCTCCAGAAAGAAGCAATACTGTGCAATTTTAGAAAGAAAATAGTAGGCAAAAGTGAAAGAGGAGCAGAATGGTTGGCTAATCATGAGCACTAGCTCAGACATGCCATGATGTAGATCTTTAAAAGCTATGAAAAACACTTTAGACCCCAAAAATGAGAGCTGGAACTTCCAAAACTTAAACATCATCAATACAAGATAAATTTTTCCAATACGTGATTGTTGTTACGATTACCTAGA